TTTAGGAAAAAAAAAATTCTAAAAAGTTGAGTCCACTCACCCCTTCACCTGGATGTCATCGCCGTGGACTCTGCTGAAGCCGAGATGGATGCCACCGCTCTGTTTACTGCTCCACAGCTCCCAGCCGGCTTGGATGCTCTCGCCCCGCCTGGAGATTCCTACATCCCGGTAGCAACCGGACTTCAGTCCTCGGCCCAGTCTTCTGCCAGGGCAGGCGCCAGGCTACTTCCGTTGAGTACGGAAAGGATCCGCAGCTTTGGGTTACTTCACCCCCAACCACAAGATTAGAAGCTCCACCCTTAAACACGGGCTCTTGGACTCATGTGATCAGCTCCGGCAGGTGCATATAGAGGACATGCCCACGCTCTGCCTCTCCTGTCCGTGACGTTCGCCTCTCCAATCGTTTTGTTGCCGTCGATGCCTCTACGCCGACGTCTAAACCTGCGCCGCGGCGTATGTCTCCGTCTCTCACTGCTCCGAACTCTCAACCCCAGGCTTCATCCGACCACCGCCGTAGCTCCAGGCAGCCAGTGTAGCTACACGGTCAAGCACTTGGCTGTGCGTCGTGGGCGAACCTTCTGCCACCCTGGAGCCCGCGTCAAGGACGTTTCATCCTCCGTCCTCCAGGTGAGGTTGCCGAGGCCGATATCAACGAAGTTCTGCTTACGATCCGTAAGCAGAACTTCTTCACCGTGGTGGCCCGCTTGTCGGACACGTGGAAGCGGTTCGTTGTTTGCGGCCCGCTTCCCCTGCCTTGCTGTGGTGACGTCACCACCAACCGCCTACGTCAGCTGCACCTGTGACAGTCTGAACAAGAGTATCCCCACACGCCACACACACACACCTCTTCCACCAGCAGCTCCCACACACATCATCTTCCACCAGCAGCTCCTTCTCTGCCACCACAACCTCAGAACTTTTACACCATCACAACCAGTATTTAGCACCGACAGCTGAAACCCAGAACTGTTTTTAAACCCAACTGCGTTTTTAACAATCCTTTAAAATGTGTGTCAGCTACATCACACCAGTGCACTGAATTCTAAACCATAAATAAAGGACGACGCAGCCACAGACTTTAGAAAAACCATCTTTATCACGTTTGATACCTAAAACTGATCAGTACCAGGACATTGCACAATACAAAGGTATGGAAAAAACAAAACAATTAAACATTAAAATAGGTATTGCATCTCTCAAAAGCTAATTCTCCATTCATAAATACTTTGTGATTTTCTTTCCTGGCAGTTTCTCATCATCATCATCATCATCCAGTTGTTTTCTAGGCAGCGATTGTTTTCAAAGAATCAAGTGATGTGACATTAACAACATTCAGCAGACATTCTGTGGGTCAGACCACCGTTAGGACCTAGTTATAGTTCAGCATCTGAGGCCAGAAGAATGTCAGTAAATAAGACTGCCCCAAACTGTGATGTCATGTGATCTCCTAAAAACACTGGGTCAAAAGGTCAGAGTTGATTTCTTTAACTTCTGTTTGAGTGCATCAGCTCCTACAGAAACATAATATGAAGTTAAAGTTAACATATGTAGTATATTTTATTTTGAAAAATGATTAGAACAGGAAGACAGAAAACCACGTGTGTTTACCTGTGTAATGAGTTGGTTTTCTGTCTCTGGTCTAACTGGGATTTGATCTCTCTGCAGACTTTTGGACCTGTGAGGAAGAACAGACGGTGGAGGTCAAACTGGTATCTCTCAGAAGACATGAAGAAAAAATAAGTCAGACAACACAGCCTGTTGTGTCATGAGCTGAAACAATGACAGAAGGGATTAATAAAATTTTTAAAAAAGCATCATTATTAGCAACAAAAAAATGAGGGACGACGTGCTGGAGAAAATATCAAATAGATGTAGATGCATCTAAATGCCACAGGAGGGCAGGTGTGCTCTTTAACCGACAAAACTGATCTGTGAGAAAGACGACAACACAAAGAAACCAACAAACAAAGTGACCAGCACAAAAAGACCAAACACAGGAATAGAACCAAGAAGCGGCGAACAGAACGCCTCAGTAGACGGTGGGGAAAAAAATGTATAAATTAAGTAAATAAAAAAAAAGAAGAAGAAGAATAAAACGAAAAAACAAAAAGAAATGAAATGTGAGCAGGTGGGAATGTGTTTAAATTTTTTCCACTGAGCTACAGATGGTTCGACTCAAACCAGAACAGTGCAGGAAGCTGGATTTGAAGAAAAATAAAATCCAACAACAGGCAGACATGTAACTGTACCTGTGGTTGTTCTTTTAGGAATTCTGGGAGTTGAAATTCACCCTTAAAGACCTGGAAAAACAAAGGACCACTTTTAGAACTCCACAAGTCCATCAACTGAATTATAACCCTGAAGATCTGACTGACTCAGTTATTAAGACCAGGAGTGTAAAAAAAAAAAACGTCTTTTTTTTATGCCTTTGACATATTTTCACTCATATTTGACAAGTTTTTTTTTTTTTTTTTGGCTTTTGACCTGATTTCCTCTAGGTCATGTAAACGTAGTCTCTGTTGACGCCTCATTATACAAGGTCACTGATGCTGCTCCGCTACAACAGCCCTTTAAAGAGATTAGGCAGAACAAACACAGCATTCCGGTCCGGTCCGGTACGGTCCAGACTTTGGAAAAGCAGCTGGGTTTAAGCCTCTAGCGCTCATACAGGATCAGAAAAGAACGGTACAGTTGATTCTGTACTTAAGAAGATCAAATCAGAGGGAGGGCAGGGGAGATCAAAGTCCAACAGGATGAAACCGAGGTGTTCCTCCATGTTTCGGGAGGGGGGGGGGATCTCAACAGGACGCCTCCTTGTGTCGTTCATTGGAACAATTTCACAGTAAAGCATGTGTCTGCTGCAGAGGCCAGAGGAGAAGAATGTCTGAGGACGGCTGGCGGTTACAGCAGCAGCGAGATGACAGATGTTTGATCACATCAACGGAATTCACCGGAAACAGACTGAAACAGTTAAATCAGTGCAACTACTACAAAGGAAGAATCTCGAAGAAAAAACCACTGAATCAAGTGAAACTGTAAAACTGACAAACTATTCCCATTTTGATTTTGTCGTAACGTCACAGTAGATTTCCCAAATCTTTGACAATTGGACCATAATAAACTTTTTAAAACAACAATCTGTCCAATAGTAACACTGGGACAGATTTATCTTTTTTTTCACTTTTGTATATGTGTACACAGGGTTCCAGTTCTACAATGTCCAAAAAAATATCAATGAAAGGTTTTCATCAGTGCTGGACCTCCACAGAGAGAGGAGTGGTCTGCACTGGTATGCTGACTTCCTGCATTCCAGTGATAAAAAACTTTCCTCAAACATATAACTCATTCTTAAACCGTTCAAAGTGCCTTCACGAGTGCTTGCGTGTTTGGCTGAGTCTGACGCAAGACCGGAGAATGGCAGTGATCTGAAATGATTTCCAACAGCACAGTCTGCAGGGGCAAAGGGATGTTTCCAATTTCCGTTTTTTTTTTTTTACTTTAAAAACCCTCCACCGAGGCTCTGGAGGCTCAGCTGTGGGCCTGGCCACAGATCTTCTTCAGCACCTTCCCAAAAGACACGTAGGAAGTTCCAAAACTAGGTCAGACACAAAGCCCAGACCTGCCGACGATAAAAATCGGGGTCAGTGAGTAAAAATAAATGTACAGCAGCAGCTAAGCCGTGTCCTTGGTACGCCACAGATCAATGCATCGTTCTCAGAGAGAAAACAGGAAGAAAATGGATCGGGGGTTGGGAGGTCTGTGTGGTGGGAAGCAGTGGTAACATGAAGCCAGCATGTGACCTCCACTTCTATAAGCCCAGGGAGATCTGTTAAAACAATCGTGAAAAGAGGAGTGTTCTCCTGGCCCAAGATTTACGGATAAAACCAGCAGATATACGACTGAGTCGGATAAAAGGGAGGTTTGAGCGCAGGTCTCAGTGGTGACTCAGATAACTTCACTGACCACTCACATTCATCCAACACAGACTAACAGACCAATGACTGGTCATCTAACTCCAAAAATGATGAATAGGGGAAAAACCAATACATTAGATAAGCAGAAATAGTACTTTCTGAACACATCCAACGGAAATTAGTAGGGAGGTTACGATACACTCAACCCACAATACAATATGACTCACTATCCTTATTGTTAACTATGCAATTTTGCAATTTAACTGTTGTACAAACAAGCACACCAGAAGTAAAAATATGTGGCTACATGCAAACATTTCCTCTCCAAAAAGCTTAGCCACAAAACAGTTTCACACCCCGGTGCGAGACTTCCATCAGACCTTTGGCTCACACTTTCTCCGTGCTCTTTCGGCAGGTTGTACAAACCACATCTTAGTATCAGAAGCAGTGATTCAGATTGATAATGACCCAGAAAGTTCCATGTTTTCAGAGAACACTTCTAGCTTTATCTTGAGAAGATCTTATCTTGGCACCACAGGCCACTGAAAGGAAATTTAGGTCATGGATACGCTGTCATGATGTTTGAGTCGATGGTACATGTAGTCGTCTTAACCAGGAGACCACGAGTCGCTCTAATTTATCATACAAAACAAGTCTGTGATGTGATTGGTTAAGGAAAAACATTTTCCAAAGAGCCTTGAACCCAGTCTCCACAGGTACTTCACTTCTCATGCCTCTACTCATTCACATTCTTATTATTATTACTGTTAATGTGGACAAGCTGAGAATTTATCGATCCAAATATCCATTTCTCACTAGGGATCACAACAACTGCAAAGCCACTTAAAAGGTATTGATTGCGGTTCAAGGAGCGAAGACTAATTTACAGGAGGCAGCAACAACCTCTGCCAAACAAAATGATATGTTATATCTGTGACTCAGTGCTTTGGTCGACTGACAGTCAGGATAAACTGACTTTAACTTTGTCAACCTTTTTTTTTCTTTTTTTTTTTTATTTTTGTACACTTTCTTATCTAAATACATATTTTGGAGTTTTTTTATTCTAATAAAAGTTTGAGTTTTAAAAAAACAAATCTAATATACTGCATAATGAAAAACAGAAATATACAAAGGCTCAAAATATGAAAATGTTTTTTTTTTTGCTGGCAAACCTCTCACTGGTTGGGTTTACGCATTAATATACACTGATTTTATCAACAGCTTTGACCACAGGGATGACGATGTGAGAAGACTTTGTGTTGATCCAGTCGGGTTATTTTACCAGCAGCACACATAAACACACACTGAAGCACCGCTGAGGTAAGGCTGCTCTCCACAGGTCAAGCTTCCTGAACTGTGTTCACTCCGTCTCTGTCTCCGCAATACAAACAATCGGCTCAGGCTACCGCTTCCTGACCTTCTTTACTGCTAGCTGCTAGATCAAGAATAGATGTGCTCTGGTTAAAATCTGCCCCCAAAGAAGAGGTGACGCACAGGTCTGAGGTATCTGGATGGTTACCATATAATGAAGAGGAGTTGTTGCTTGTAAAAAAAAAAAATAGAGGTGAATAAACTACCTATAATTTACCAATAAATCTGTAAAGATTTGGGCGTAAGAAAACTCCACTGACGTGGGATGTGTCTAAGTCATGTACGACATCACGTTGATAGGAAGAATAAAGTTAGCTTAAAACTAGGGATGTAATGATGCATCATGAATCTGTTAAAAGTCATCTTTAATAATAACTTTATTGATCCCACACTGCTTCAAAAGTTTTGTGTTAACAGCAGGCGCCAAATGTGAGGTTCCTCTGGGAATCAAACCCAACTCATCTTGGCTCGAAAAAAACTAAAAGAGTGTATCGTCACAGTCCTAGTTAAGGCTCACACAGACATCACTGTCTAAAATAAAGCTATTCATACTGATGTTCCATTCCACCTACAGGGGAAAATCCTTCACACATGACCAGAACACAATACCTGGGCTGTGACAATGGAAGGATATAGGATAAGTCCATATAAAAAGAGTTCTGACCTCATCTGAACAAACAGCAGCTCCCCAAAGAATTCCTTCAAAAAATATTCCCTCAGAGCATTTGAACAGTGGACATAATGGACTTATTTATAAAAGTGTGTGTCATTTTAAGTTCAATGTTATTACCCTCTCAGAGCCTGGAGATCTGTTGACATTTTTTGTGCAGAACACCAGTGTTTCATTCTTTGAATTGGTTTCCGGTCTTTTCCCTGAGTTACAGCAGCCAATTATTCTTCGCCGAGTCTCTTAATACCACAACCTTCTGGGAAAGCCATGCTTTTTATAATTTTTTAACAATCAATCTTAAATTCAGAAACAGAAAATAACAACAAAAACCTAGCTTTGCTATTATCTGCGAAGGGTGAACTTGGCCAAACTTCAGACAGTAGCTCTTGACACATGAAAATGTTTAGTTCACCTCGTCTCAGCGATTGCTTTCTAATCTAAACAAACTTCTCGTGTTTAGGCTATGATAATAGTTACTAATAATATTTGCATGGTAGGAATTTCTGGAAGATAAACATGTAGGCAGTGGTTCTCTTAAAAAATAAATATTTTGACAATCATGAAATAAATTTATGAAATAATTTTCATACAATTACAAAGGAAGCTTATCAAAGGAAATACCGGGGTTTAGAATTTTTTTTTTTATAATTTTACAGATAGAAAATCTAAGCATTTAGAATTGTAAGTCACTCTGATCTCAACAGAGGATCTCCTCATTAATACTTCAGAGGTTGGTGGCTGTGATAGCCACAAAAACTGTGTGTTTCTGTTTGTTCTAAGACTAAAACTCCTTTTTCTATTTAATATTCCTGACTTAAATTCTCAGAGGCTGGAAATACGCTTTGATGTTTACATCTGCACCAGCCAGCGCTGTGGTCACGTGATGAACTAAACTGAAATTCTTGCATCAACTAATTTCGAGGTAGTGGAAGTTTCACACTGACCAGGCTTCCCACTCAAACCATTTCATTTTAACCTAGCTCGGAATAAAATGTCTGCAAAACAAACTATTCTGATGGATGATGAAATGACATCCAATCATGAAGCCACCGATGAAGTCCATCCAACAGCCCTATATCCACACACCTCTCCATGAAACTTCTTTTTTCTATTGAACTCTCCATCCCGCTGAGTGACAGAGAGAAGGGCAGGCAAACAAACAAACAAACAATATCAACCCAGCAGCAACTGGATCTGATACCGAGTACTCACAGTAATTACCTGCAGATGCAGGCAGGCACAAATCTGAGCAGAGAGGCCTTAACACGCACATGCTGTCAACAATACTTGTGAAGTAATGATCTAAGGAGGAGGCAGCAAACGGGACATTACTGAGCTCAGCGTGGTCACCAACAGCAGAAGGATGTTAATATATATGTGCCCAGCATTTAAGCTGAAGGACTTAAAGAACAGTCCAACACTTGAGGGGACACGAGTTTTGTTGGTACTCGTCTTAGAACGAGACCCACAGCAACACAATGGCTCCATTGTTGACCAACAGTTTGTTTGCTGCAAATGTAAGCAGTCGTCATACAGTCTTGGAGCTGGTTTATGATTTATAAATTCTTAAATAATTTTATAATGAGACTATTGTTGCACAATGATATTCAAACAGCCTGGGATCAATAAAGTTCAAATTATTTTGTACAGTATATATTTATCTATTTGTTTATCATAGGGGTTTGTCTCAGTACCAATTTTTTTTTTACAAACTAATACCAGTACAAGTATTTTTTATTTTGTGTCCTCGTTGATACCAAGTACCACCACAGATACTTCTTTAGGTTGACTTTCAATAAGTCATGCAGAAAAGTGCAAGACAGTTTTATATAGTTGACGTTTCCCTGTGGGGAAATACGGTGATGTGCAGTTGAGCTCCACCCAACCCACAGTGAGGACACAAACCTCAGATCCATTTTCTTCTCATTAAACGGCGATTTTAATCCAAACAGAAACTGATCCTTCTGTATAAAACAAAAAAAATATTTAAAAAGATAGGAAATAAATATAAAATCAAACGTTCTGCATAGAAAGTGAGCAAATCTCCCACATCAATAACACATTTCAGATGAAGCTCTCCTTCCAGGTCTCGATAAACAAATTAACAAAAAACGTGGGTTAATGAAGTCTCCACAAAACAGTGACTCGACTATTTACTCATCGATCTGTGACACGGCGCACACACAGCGCTAAGTCATGTCCTCAGTCATGTCCTCAGATGTCAAACTGCTCCTATTGTAACAGGACAATTCTTACTGTCAACGTCTCTGATGTTAAAATACCTCCAAACTGTTGACACTGTCGACCTCATAATAATCAAACCGGAAGTCTTTTGAGTACTAGTGCGAGTACTTGAATAAAGTATTTGATTAAATATTTCTAAATGAAACTTTATTCAACATCTCTGTGCATCCCCATTATTCCCAGTGGTGGACTTTATCGTGACAGTGAATCTTTGTAAAGTGATATCCAGCCACTAAGCTAACGTCTTAACTGTGCCACCTTGTCTGTACTTTCCATCCCTGTCTGTGGTCTGTCACAGTGTTCCAGAAAATCCCCCCCGCCTCCACTCCCCATCACTTCTCACACTCCAAATGTTTTCCATTTGACTCATAATGGTCTCGACGATGTGATGAATGGCACAAACTCCAAACTCTGTATTTTCATCCTGCCCATTTTTTCTGGTTCCCCTTAAACAAATGGAAAAGAAAACCCCGGGACAAAGCTCCAAAACTCCACCATGGGTCAAAGACGTTTCCACCACGGGCTTCTAAGACAATATTAAACCAGTGCAACATTTCAGTTTTTTCAGTAATAAACTCTTGTTGCCCAAACCTCTGTACCACAGCATTCATATCAAATCTGGATAGAACCAGAACCAGAGAACGTTCTGATGTGGCTGCTGTCGCCTTTTACTGTGCTCTGACACACCCCTCCCCCACAGCCAACAGTCTGCTGGGGCTATTTACGTTTACTCTGAGTGTGCAGATTTCTGGCAATGGGTGTTGTGTCTTCCCGCTGATGCACAAGCCATTGCTTTATGTGACCAAGGACAAACCCTCTGCTGAGACGAGGACAGAGATGATGCAGCAGTGACTCGGTGACAAAGCTTCATTGACACGGTGCTAAAATATATCGTGCTTATTCATCCCCTGGTCCTGACAGCCGAGCACATACACATGGAGCAAATGACGACGACCGATGCGTTCCAATGACTTTGACCGCGACACTGTTGCAGTGCAGTTGAGGCAGAGTAATGCTAGCTCTTACAAGGACACAGACCTACTCATTAGGCAGCAGTGGTTATGGTAAAGGCATGTTTATCACAATTGCCAGTCTAATGTCTCCAAAATGATTTATAGCAGTTTGGATGTCTGGAGCGTTCCTATGCTCCAAGCAGTATAAAAAAAAGGAGGAAAACAAAAATACAGCTACACAGCCTTTAATTGGGTCGAACTAACTCCAATGTTAAATACAAACCCAGAGTAAACGAACACTACTATATTCGGGTTTAAAGCTACAGTGTATATATATATATATATATATATATGACAGATTCAACCCATTACTGATGGCTACTACAGTAGGTACTATGACTTCACATTTGCCAAAAAAACAAAAACAATCTCCAGACAGATGTAATGCCCCCCGCACCCTCCCCCCGCTGTCATCCCCAAAACAAAAAAAACCTGGACCATTCTCAAGGTTTCATGCTTAGCAGCAACAAATCAGCCAGAAATGTTTAGACAGCAGAACAACCCAGGAAAGGTCAAGCTCGGAAAAAACATGTTCAGCATCAACCAGCAGACATTCTTCAGCCTGTAAAAGCAATACGATTGTGGTCCGGCCACAGAAGTGTGTACTTTCTTCCATGTCACTGATAACGACATGTTTCAGTCTATTAGCAGAGCGTAGTTACCAGAGTTGAGAAAGAGTCCAAACAAGTGGAAACAGGAACTCTTTTTCTCAGCATCTGAGGTATTTTAATATAAAATGTATTTTGACATGTTGACTTAATAAGCCAATCCTGTACGGTGTTTAATCCTAATACAGTATATGGAGGTGAAATTCAAAACTCTGTTTTCCGCTTATCTAAGACGTAGCAGTTAATCACAGCGGAGAGCCAGCTAAGTATGACACAAAGAGCAGAGCTGCAGAACACATTACCTAAAAGTTCAGTCTGAGAAACGCATTTAAAAAAAAAAAAAAAAAAACACACTTTCTGCTCCAAAAATAGCAAAAGATTTTCCAAGAACGCAGATGTGTTTGACAGTTGGTTAGAACAAAACTGCTGAGGCAAAGAAAGCCGCGCTTGAGCACAAGGTGGATGTAAAGATGATTGAATGCATGGTGTGTGATGTTCTTTTCTTTCTGCCGACGGCCTCAATATGTGACGTTCTAAAAATGTCATGTCACTTTGGAAAAAAAAAAAAACGAAACATTTTAAGGATAGGAATAGTTGTTGTTGTGCCTTGGATGTTTAACAGTTTGCTAACTTCGCAAATCCTTTTACAGTGCTGCAAAACTCGGATGACTGACGTTGTGACTGTCAATTTCAGCACGGGTATATGTATCTATGAACGCCGCACCACATCCACCCCCCACCGGCCCCCACCTCCAACAGCAGGAAGCCTGTTTGTTTATCATGGCGTGTTGTGCAGACAGCAGAGTGAGCAACTAGGACTTGTAGATAATGAGCAGGAACATGATAAACAAACCGACGCTAATCTGCAGTGGCATGCAACGATTCCACACATGAAGTTTGAGGAAAACCAGTGAGTTACTACAGTAAACTCACCGTGAGACTAGACGTTCGAAAAACAATAAAGGGGTTGGGGGTACACATATATACATATATATACATAAACATATATACACATATAAACATTTATAAATATATACGCATATATACATATATACACATATATACGTACACATATACGTACATATATACATATATACATATACGTACATATATACATATACATGTACATATATACATATATACATATACGTACATATATACATATATACATATACGTACATATATACATATACATGTACATATATACATATACATATATACATACATATATATATAATATCAAAATGTTTAAAAAAAAATCTGAATTTTAACCATAAACAAGGGCATTGCTGCAAAATGTTGTTTTTGATAATTTTAACCATAAACAAGGGCATTGCTACGTACTGCAAAGTTATATTCATTTTTGGGAACATTTCTTTTTGAAGACTTTTTCAGAAAATTATTAGGATGGTATGTTAGGTTTGGTTAATGGTTGGTTCAGTTTTTTGTTTCTCAGTTTTATGCTTATTATTTATTCTTTGATGCTGAGATAAACCTTATTCACTGGACATGTTAAACCAACGCACTGACAGACAGAGAAAATCCACTAACGGGCAGTGAGAGAAATACTGCTCATGACAAGTAATGTGCACTGAAAAATCAATGGAGTGCCTTTTTACATCAAGCGCTTTCGATAAGACGCTGCTCTTATTTTTCTTTACATTATATCACATCTCGGTTGACACTGAGATCAATGACATAACATGTAGTTACAGTAGTGCTGTTCCAGCACGTGCAGTGTTAGTTGGCTTTTTTTTTTTTAAACTTATCAGTTTGTTGTTTTAGTTCTGTTGACCAAATCATTAGTTGTCCTTCCTGTCTGAACATTTCTCAGATATTTGGCGGTGAGAACAGTGTGAGCTACTACAATATACTGTATATTTTTCAACTTCCAGGGGTCATGCATATGAAGCATATGAAAACATCTAGACAGAGCTCACACAATGATAACATCAACAACAACAAATTACCAGATATAAATATATGTGAGTAGATGGACCTGTTTAAGACAAATAAACCGGTGGAAAACTCACCCTTCTTGTATTGTCCAGGACTTTAGGATCGGGCCGACCATAGTTGGGAGGATTGGCGTGGGGGTCGTAGCCCAGTCTGGACAGCATTGGTGCGATGACGGCCATGTCCCTGACCACGTCTGCCGGGATCTTTCCTACCCATTTCGATAAGGCTTCAACATTGACAGGCTTGATGACCTGGTCTGTTGACCTTTCCACCCTGAAAAGAAATAATGAAAAAAGTTCTTATAATTCAGAATTTTAATGTCTTGTTTCAAGGCAGCTGACGATATACGTAGATGAAGCAGAACCCACTCCTCGCCAACAATTTTGGTCATGTACCTCTTAAAGAAAGACAAAAGTGCTAAACTGCGACCGAAAGGTGTCTCAATATAAGGGTATGATACAAAACACAAAAAAAAATAATTATCTTTTTTTAAATTCAGTGCCCGTGGGCAGTGAAAAAAATGTCTACTGTCCAGATTAATAATGCTCTACCAGTCTTGTCTCGGCCCGTTTTCAAAAAGAACACGCCATTATGGTAAATAATTAATTATGTGAAATTAAATATTGAAGATGAAAGGGTATTGGAACATCTGCTCTGAGGATTTTTTTTTTTTTTTGTCCTGAAGCAAACAAAGTCCACGCCCTGTGGTTAGCACATGGGAGTTGATGTCAGCTTCATCAAGATGTAAATGACTGTACCAGTGCAAGTCACAAGTGGGGCCAGGCCATCTGCTCAGTGAGATGAAAAAAAAAAAAAGTTCATATTGATCAACATGTCAAACCATTTGAAATGTAAGAATACAAACAGAAATGTTTCAGTCGACGGTAAAAACAAACACTCTGTGACCTTCTTAAGTTTACTGATATAAGCCGACGCCTTAAGTCCTTTAAATCTGTTAATCTATGTTAAGGGTAAACAAACGTTGACTTTTCCTCTCTCGTCTGTTTACCATCATCAGTTCAGCTTCTCCTTCTGTATGTTCCCCGTCTGACCCCATACCTCAATCTGGCAATTCACTTTCCTCTAATCCATTTACTTTGCAATTCAATCTTTACACTGCACGGGTATAGGCTCCTGCATGATTAATAGAGTGAGCTGGTTTTGTCATCTCAGGAGGACGGTGTAGATGGTTTCTGAGAGACGGGCCCTGATCCAAATATCCACTCTGAAACAAATAGGTAGGGAATCACTTTAGGTAACTGCATCACGACCCAGGAGGCTGCAGGAGTGTTGATGTGGAGCGTAAACGGATAGAGACAAAGCCAGAGCGTTGCTGATACAGTCTGGATCAGTTCACTACCATGTTGGTAGAGAGGCTACAACACGCTGAAGGTCCGTTTTCTACGCTCACACACAACAGTGGTGATCGTTTGAGGTGGTCCTCGGTCTTCATGCATGTCATTAAGTTAATTACCCTCAGCCACATGAAGCTTATTTTCAGGTTAATACACTTCATGCGTTATTGGTGCAAATTGTATTTGATCAAAATTGAGACAAAAATGTGCAGAATTCACATCATAGCAGTGTTTCTGCTCCCCGTGTTCAGAGACCTGCTGCTGCTTTATTGCTTCAGAATTGGGGCCCAACTTAAAATAACAGTCTACCCGTTAGCGTTAATAACGTCTGAGGTTATTAGGGCCCACTAGATTAACACATTAACACCTCACTGGGTTTGGATTGTTAACTCATCAGTGATTGTTGGCAGTGCCCAGCATTTCCCTTCTTAATGCACGGTCCTCGACAAACTAAATAAATGGACCGCCTCAAGATCATGTTTGATTATAATGAACAAAACAGAAGCATCAGACTATTTCCCAAATAAAACCAACTTGAACAGAGTTCACATTTTATCTGTTATTAACCAATAAGACAGATGAAAGAAAAAAAGACCAAAGCAGAGAAGATGTACGGGAAAAACAGAGGAGGGAAGGATGCGAATTGGGAATGACCTGCTGCCCAAAATCCCAGTGGAAACACTAATTATAATTCATGTAAAACTTTCTTGCATAATAGGACAATTAACAGAGTATATTGAATATAAAGCGTCTATTTTTATTTTACTGCAGGATTTAGAGATAACAGCCCTGGTGAACAATTCATATTTAACCTGTTAGAACAGATCACCGCGTTGACTCCCATTTTTGCTATTAATGTGATTTGACAAAAACCTTTTCCATCCATCACATGACCACTTCCCTTCAGGCTGATGCTCTTTATGGCCTGCAGCTTGTCAATTATTAATTGCAGGGCCTCCTTTACCCAAGGTGGTGTTCTGTATCACCAACAGCTGATAAGAGAGAGAGAGAGAGACATCAAGATCACGGAGGATAGAGATGGGAGGTGGGATGGGCTGGCTCCCTGCTCTGGGATAAGTAATGGACTGAGTCTCTGGGCTAGACAGGACGTCCACTAAATCATGGCCAGGTAATTGATGTTAATGCAAAGACTAGGTCCCAGTGTGGGTCCTGGCAGCCCACTGATTGAGATTTTGGTCTAGATAGAGACCTACAGCTCAAGGATGGTGGAAATAGGGAGTTTTGGTGGTTGTAGGGAGAACCTGACTGAAACCAGGGACACGTTTTTTGGTTGTTGTTGCTAGTGACAGGAGGATAAAAGTCGATAGAGCATTTTTACTATCGTATAACCATTATGGTAATGCAAAAGTACATTTCAATTAAACACGGAATTGAAGCGATTGACGTAGGGAAATGATCATTGTCTCTGACTGTGTCTGGCAGTAGTAAGATGTGAAGGACAGACATGAAGGACAGACATCAAGGACACAGCAGTGTCTCCATGCTTAGAATCCCTAATCATTACAACATAATGAAAATCAATTTGTGGAGTGCAGAAACTGTATCGGGATCGTTATGCTTTTTTATTTTTTTTTTTTCTTTCTGTCCATGAGCAGATATTATGCTGTTTTCTTTTTTTTCTTTCTGTCCATGAGCAGATACTTAGAATTTACTTCAACATCCTTGTTTCTATCGAGCATTGAAGTAACATACACTTAGGTCAGAAGGTTAAACACACAGGGTCGTTCAATACGAACAGAACCACTCAAGACATCCCTGAGTCTAGACACAAGAAACAGACAAGGACACCGTGAGGCCTGGACTGAGAACCTCAAGGGTTCTTACTACTGGAGCAGACGTAAAGAGCACTTCATGATCCCCATCACACTCCTGCTTGTCAGCATCTTGAGATTTGATTTCTGTTCTGAGCGTTTCAGATTGAACTGTTTATCTCGCCACATTAGTGTTAGTTAACTTGAAACTAAAAAGGCAAAGAGTCATAAAAACCAACCAGGGGAAACTTAATGAATGAAGATTAAATTAAAGCTAGAATAAAAAAAACTCAACATTGGTGTAAAGCTAAAAAATAAGGTGGTTTCTCCTTCATGGATGTAATTCCACTGCAGGGGTAACTTATGATCACTGATATGAAATCTAATAACACAGGCAAACAGGCAAGGCATTGAAAAAAAGCACAAACGTCAACTGAGGCTGCTCACTTCCCTCATCACTGCGCTGTATAAATAATAAGGAGCGGAAAAAAAAACAAGTCCTGACAACATCTGGATATTGTGGAGAACATTTGGTTCTCCAAAATATCCTTCACCTTTCACTGTGTGTTTATGAACAATTTTCAACTATATATTGCATTGATATTTTTCGCATAAAACAAATTATTTGACAATGAGCTTTATACTAAGACAGTAACTACCAAGCTACTGTAGAAAGGCCAATAATGTGTTTAAATGATGCATACCATGGATCGTTCCCTGCTGGCTGCTGGTGTTACTGTTTTTTTCCTCATTTAAAAGTAAAAGGGAAACAGATGTGGAGGCCAATTAAAAGTTCTTAACTATGTTTTATAGTAGAAAGCGAGGTGAGTTCATCAGGAGTGATGTGGAGCCAAAAGACATTTTTGAGTGTTTTTGTTTTGTGAGACGATAACAAAATGCAGCCTAAATCATCTCCAGAGTGAGTAGAGTGTGTTCTAGTTGCCACGTGGCAGGAAAAGGAGGGTAGCAAAGGGGGGTTCGACTGAGGCAGAGAGTAGGGTTGCATCCCTGGAGTGTTTCCTCCTCAACTCCCAGAAGCGAACTATTCAAATCACCAAGACCAAAAACAACGCTGACACCAGACAAGGCCTTTAGAAACGTTGCTTACAGTAGGGTACGGTAGGGCGGACATAGTTTCACATCTTTAGGTCACTAATCACAGAATTCCTGATTAATTTCCAAATCAAATTTAATGATGGAGTGACTGGTGTTTCTGTGAAAACGAGGGATCTACAGATTTACTTCCGAGGCCAAAGCTGCATGTGTTCAAAGGCCTCCAGGAAGCCAGACTACGCAGAGAGGGGGATTCTTCACTTCAACCTGACACACTGCTTACTGACATGTCATTTCTCTTTAGGTTAATAGCCAATCTATACTTTCTCTCCCTTCCAGGCTGAGTAGTTAAAAGCTGAGCAGACATGCCCACGCTGATTTCTGTAGCACTCGGAATGTGATGTATTAGAGGCTTTATTCATCATGTGGAGCTTGTCAGCCTGGCAGATATTGCACTTTTGTAGAACTAATATATCTTTCTGAGTGAAGCTTAAGTAAAATCCTGTGTCTCCAAAGGTAAATTTATTTTTGTTTTATAGCCCTAAAGTTACTGCAGTGAAAAAGGCACCGTAAATTTGTGAGACAGAATAGATTGGTTTCTTGTTTGATTGTCTTGAAATAATCTGTGAAATAGTGCTTAATTTATTTTGAACAATTTATGATAATATTCTACATCGATTTTTATTTTTGTAATTATGAAAGTCCTCAATACACATCACAGTATATATATATAAAATTTACACAGCATTTAGCCATTTCATTCCACATCTTAGTTATATTGTCTCCTTTCTTACGTATTTTGAAACCTAATATTGAAAATCTAATCTAATCTTCCTTTGTAACTAAAGCTTTTTGAACTTGTCACTGGAAACGGAAACGGCAGACCATTTTAGGAAACTGCATTCCTAAAATGTCCAAGATTACAAGACACAGAGAGAGAGAGAGTGTGTCCCCACTGGTGTAATGATTTTAGAGTACTTCAGGCAACTAGAGAAACCCGAGACTAACCTTAATTAATGATGTTAACAGGGGTCATTACACCCCCGACTACGTTGTAAGTATTCTCACATTAAACAGCAAGAGAGAGAAAAAAAAGACACTAGCTTGTTACTCACTTGGAAAGCGACACTCCTCCAGCTTTTCCAATGAGTTCTTCATGGCGTAGAACGGCATCGTTCCAAGGAACTTCGAGGAATTTTAGCAGAGTCTTCATCCATTTTTCAGGATGGAGAACTAATTGTTCATAATGCACTGGTAGGCATTTGTCCGCCGCCTCCAAGCACTGAGTGTACATGGTCTCGATTGCCCGATTCCATTTGGTTAGGCAGTCTCGATAGCTGCCAAGATCAAAGCCAGCAATGGTCACCTTGCGTGAGATCATGGAGTGGACTGAGGCCCGTCCATCGCGTATCATGAGTACAAACTTGGCATGGGGAAAGATTTTGGCCAGATAGGAAAGCGACTTTAGTGAAAAAGGGTCCTTGTTGCACAGGAAGTTGGCAGGCTCACCGTGTTTGACAATGATTTCCAGCAGAAAGGCCTGCATGGCGGCGTCCAGCACCTCGTCCGTCACGCCTGCCTCGTCCAGGCGCATTTTCTCCCGGCCCGAGCGGCTCCACATTTGTTTCATGGCAAGTATACGTGGAATGACACGGGTTTCCTCTCCACAGCGTACCTCTGGGTGGGCGTCCAGCATCGCTCGCATAAGCGTAGTCCCACTTCGGGGTACACCGCCGATGAAGATTAGTGGCATGTCTTTGTTGTAAACAAAAGGCGTACTGAGATTTTGGCCGGTCCGTAACGTGGTCCGCATGCTGCCTCCCAGTGCTGACAATGGATATATTCCAACTGATTGGCCTCGCTCCTCGATGCGGTGATGGCACTCCATGGCATGGCGGCCCAGGTAGAAGACGGTGACGGAGCTAATGACCAAACAGGCCACCAGCAGGTTCTGTTTGAGCTTGCCAATCATGATGCAGACTACAAACAGGACAATACAATATCTCCACAGGAGCCGTTTGGGGGGGAAGGATGGGAAAAAGGACCTAAGGGCTAATTTAAGTTCCCACCCTTTACGATTGTTTGCAGAGAACCAGGCTTGGTTCGAGCTCCCTGGTATACAGTAGGCGTCGACGTCCCAGCTCCATGATACCTGGATCGTGGTTAAAAAACACAGAGAAACATACATTATACTTTAAATATTCAAGCAAACAGAAAGTAAATATTCACAGGCTGTTCATCAGAGACCAATTTGTGACCGAGTCCAATCAAAATAGAAACAATAATACTGCAGTGACTTTGACGAGTTTGACAAGCCATCAGAAAGATGAACAAGTGCAACAATTAGCTGACAATACATGACAATGGAAGTCAGATCCCTTTAAAGAAGGACAAGAAAAAAAATGCCGGACATCACACGAGGGAGGGATGTTTGTAACATGTAAATGATATTTGACTGTTACCCTTTATCTTCTAATATGCAAACACCAGATCTTTACGCTGCAGTGGTTTGGCAAACGGCTGAAGTTGCTGTTACTGCTTTTGTTGGCAGGATCTCTCGTTGCTGACCGTGCAGCCGCAGTCAGTCTGCTGAACAAACGACTGGGTTGTGCGACAAGGGGGTAATACACATAAGAAAGCTACTGCGGCTCAGGTTACTGTGATACAACAGCGCCCGTGTATTAATTGAAGTTGATCAGTCACCTGACCTGACACGGAGTAAAAAGAAATGTCCAGCAACCGGTCATCTGAAGCGGATCATCGCTTGGTGATGATACCAATCTCTTTTGACACTTTGGTTAAAAAAAAAAAAAGTTTTATATGTGAGTGGATACATTTTTTTTTCCATGCTGTTGTTCATCAAAATTTGAATACAACTGTAATCTTACATTTATTTAGTTGTATTTTCCACCTTGTATAACCAGTCACATTATCGTCACAGGCTGCAGTTTACTGTAATAAAGTAGTAACAACAGAGTCATGCGCTCTTACGCCCTGCTGTCTTCAGAAGGTGTTCTTCAGTTGTCTGCAGCTAACGGCCATTAACACATACCTTCAACGTGGTGCGGCCACAAGGGTGGCCCAGGGTTAAACTCCTGACGTCTGAACTTAATGGTTTAGGACAAATGCAGATCCTGTGATAAAACCCGTGTTGATTCTGACACCTTGTTGCCGGGGTTTTCTCACTGATACGTTAGTGTTTAATGAACATCGTTTCTGTTGAGATAAACATGAGAATTTGACTATGCATACACTACACAAACTAGTAATATTTAATAGTCAGACACACGAAACACACGTGTTAATGTGTGCTCCTTTGTCAGTATGTTCAAGATCAATTTTAACCGAATAAATCCAAATTTTTCTCAATGGGGTTAAACTGCATTTTCAATATTTAAGGCAAAATGAATGTAAAGACTTCAGACACACAAGAAACCCTGACATTTGAAAGTTTTTATAAAACCTAAAATTCAACTAAATATCTGATATTCAAGCCTTGTATGAGGAGGTATGATTTCCTGTATGTCTTTTAATAAATAGATAATGACTGTTGTGAATAGACTGAAGACTGGTAAAAAAAAAAAAAAGAGTTCAGAAATATTTATTTTACAGTAGGGCTTGCACCAAGAGCAAAACAATAATTATTGTGTTATTAAAAAAAACAGATCCAGCAGGTGGCAGTTATCCAAACCAAGGCTGAAGAGTTGCTATTTATGCCCCAAGAAGAAGAAGAAACCACACGAGTGCGTGAGAAGGGCAGCAATTGGGGTAAAAAACAATTAAAATATTTTTTAAGCCACAGTACAAAATTAGAATAAAATTACCTGCAAGAATTTATTGCAATTTCAAAGTGGTTAACTTTTAAATGGGGAGAAATTTTAATTTAAAAATAGTTCAGCATTTGGGACTTCTTGTAAATAAGAATAAAATAAATAAATATGTAAATCAGATTTGCGTCAAAGTCTTGTGAACGCCTGTGGTTGCGTTACACGGTGGTGTCGTGTTACACCTTGCAGCGAAGCATAAATGTGTTTATGTTAAATTAATTGCCGCTCTTCTCTCCTGTTACTGACACTGTATCCTCCTTACAGCACATTTCTCCCATTGATCTTATGAGGGGAAAACAGACGAGGCCTGTGCTGCTCTCTGCAGAGGAAGAGTGAAGCTCAGCCACATCGAACAATAACAGGAAAAAAGGGGAGATTTTTAAAAAAATTATTTAAACAGGTGATTGTTTAAATAATCAGTGAACTGTTATTTAAACAGTTCACTGATTGTCATAGGTATCTGTACCTGTGGCAGGTGTTGGGTATTTACCCGACAGGTGCGGCACAAACCAAATATTTGGCTCCATAGCTCAGGGTTTAGTGCACTGGTCACTGGCTCAAATCTCACGTTGTGACCAATTACACTCTGTATTACTTATGCCCTGCGACACAGTGAGGGGTCTGTAGGTGATGATGTAACGAGCCGTAACTTCAACTGTTTAAATGTAATGAAAAGCTCCGGGAGGTAGCAGCCCCGCAGTCCACGTAACTTGGCCCATTCTGTTGTAAACAACGACCAAACAATGTCAGAAACGTGTACAAGAAAACAAGACATGTGATAAACACAGCCATCTGGTGCACACACTGATCCCAGTCCTGGATCCCTTCGTTTGATTATACTGTACATGATGCCAAGCATTCTGCTGCAAATAAAAAAATTTAAAAAAAGAAAAGAAAAGAGCTGCTTGTATGTTCCAGAAGGAACAGTGGTATTTCTCTAACCCTTAAAATAACATTCTTATTTCTTTACTCTCTGCCTTACTCACACCGGTCTCTTCTTTCCTTCCAGTGAAGTTTGTTAAAGGTATTAATGGGTGATAATTTCAAAGGTGTTTCTACATAATATTACAACTGTTTACTGTTTCTGCATCTCCAGAGAAAGAATGTTTAGTTCAAATGTAAAGAGACACTTTTTAACTAACACCATGACATATCTTTTAAAAAAAAATTACAAGTACAATGTTGAATTAAGAACTGGTTTGTTTGTTTTTTACAATATTGAATTAAGAACTGGTTTGTTTGTTTTTTTAGTACAATAAATGGATGATTACATTTTGGGATTCATGAGTTTTGTAGTAGAAAAAAATTGTCAAAATGTATGCATAAATCACATTAATTACTTTGGAAATTTATCATAATAAAATTATGCAAGCAATGCATTTTTAATCAGAGGAAATGATGTACACCGTAGATCTAATTATTCTCCTCTCTGCAATCATCAGATGGGTTCGGAGCAACTGCACAACTATCATTATTGTTGAGAACCAGGGCTTCACAGAAGTTTTTGAAAGCATCTTTCCAAACATTTTTTTCCATATTAATAATTAATTATTCCATCATTTGGATTAATCACAAAGCATCAAGGAAAGAAACATCTAGACGCAGCGACTGTAGTCATTCCTGCAGCACAACTGTCAGATACAAACACAATCTGCAGCACACACAGTGACTGCACTGCCTATAACTTCTGCCCTTGAGGCCTTTTCATGAACTACATGTAATGAATGAACTCATCACCGTGGGACTGGACAGTATAACAAGACATACTGCTCTAGTGGCACACATTCATTTAACCGTGAGACGCTGAAACACTGCGTGATGCTGCCTCACAGACATGTTCTAAAAAAAATACGGCTACCCAGACATTAACTGCAGAGACGGGGAGGGGGTCCAGTCTTTCATACAGGTACTGGAGAAGTTTGTTTAATGGAAACTGTAATGTGTGGTGAGTGGTGTCATCTAAACACTGGCTCTGACCAGACACTGACTGACACCCAAGAGAAGTACTCCACCAAATCATCACTGTGGCTTCACCCGGGGGTTGTAGAAAGAGGTCAATCTGTAAGTGAGGCATAGAATTCAGTCACTGGTTACAGGGAGGTAAACCTGGTCGTGCTGCTGGTTAAATAAGAAAGGTTGGTTATAGCCTAGACTTCTGAAAGCACCATCCCATCCTTTACTAATTAACATAATTGGTACACTTCCTATTTTTCCTGGACGTACACTGACACACATGCACACAAACACACAAACACACACGCTTTTCCTACAAACAGACATCCAGTCACCAAGGAAACCTGGCCAGTGTGTGGGTGGTCACAAAACATGCAGGCTCAGAGCTCAGCTGTTGCTAACACTGCTCATGAACAATTGCTTTCCTTATTTCCCATTAAAGTGATTTCAATGCCAATAACGCGCTGATGAAAAACATTAAAGAACGTATTAGTAATGAAAAAAAAAATCAATTTGGAGAGAGCGGAGGCTGTATACTGACGGTTCTTTTCTGCACACTTTGATGAGGTCCGCCCATGCATCAGTGAGTCCTTGAGCAGTGTACGGTTCACTTTTTTTTCTGGAGGAGCTCCATAAATACAAGCCTTGCTCTCCGGTTTGACCCACAGCTCGGCCACAGCCACGAGAGATCGGATTGACTCGATGTTATAATTGTGATGCAGAACTGCATGTTCTTTTTTTTTTAGACAAAGGGAATGAGAGTGCAAAGGGAGCCGGAGTCCAACTGATCCAGCACTGCAGCTGTGGAAGCTGTGAATTTAACTGGACAGGAGTATTTGTCCTTCACAGGACCACCTGTACAGACTACCAACACAACTGTAGTCTTTACTCTGTCCTGGCCACAAGAAACTGTTTTTTTCTGGTCTCAAAAGATGCATACAATGTGCTTTCTTTGAGACCATATAACATGCAATGTGCTTTCTTTGAGACCATATAACATTATATTAAATATACACAAAGATATATGTATATATTTTGGTGCATATTTAATCTCAATTCAATATCTTAGAAGAGAAGCTGAGTGTTTACAAGATTTACAAGCCATTCAGACGTTTAAAAAGGCAATCATCTTATCACTCAACACTGCGTGACTCCGCGGAGGTAAACAATACAATTACTGTTTGAATATGATGGATGAGTAACGTGCTCTGAATTAAGACCCCGTCTCTCTAAGCAACGACGCAATAAAACGCAGGCCTCGGTTAAACCTCTGATAGGACTCGACAATGGAAGTGCAAGACAGAAATCTGACAGTGTGGAGGCAGGAGCCAAGTGGAGGATGGAAAATGAAGTTAAAAACATAACTAAATCCTCCCGGTCCTTCTGTGCCAAATTAGAGCAGCTTAGCAGCTCAATCAGCCCCAGGCCTCAGAAACGCTCACTTTGAACTGCAAATCAGCAAATCATACATCACAGCATCACAAGTTTGGAACTATAAAAAAAACAAACTTAGAACATTTCATTTAACTACAGTATATACGATTATATCACTTGGTTTCTTTGCGACTACAAACTATTTTCTTGCCAAAAGACAAGACATTTTTGCACATTTCTGTGGTTAATTCCCAACTGGGATTTAATTGTATTAAATTGTCACTGATCAGACGCAAATACACATGTATTTTTTAAGCTTTTGATGGACATTTTCCTGCTAAAAAACCTGTATTTTCTTGTACATTTAAATGTGGAGGCTGCGGGGGTTAAAACTACTTCCAGAATCAAACTGTTGGATGTTTAGTTCTTAAACAAAGAAATTGATGGAAAAATCTAATCTAAATAAAAAAATGTTTTGGGAGGAAAACAGCTGCATATATTGGCATCAGTTCATATCGGAGCAGAAATGTAGTGTTTGGACAATATCAACATCAACACATCAATATCTGAGCAATAAGTTCATGTTGGACCTCCCTATTAAAAGACCCTTATATATAGATCAAATGAAGCGTTGTAATGCATTTCACTAATTCAAATATCTTAATTTCTGTCATCCTATTTGTATTACTGCATCAAACTCTTAGAAATTTCTGACATGTGTAAAATTGGACTGGTTATAACTGCTACTACATGTATAGTTAACTTAGACCGACTAAATTACCTGAAGTCGAATATGTTTGGTTTGATTTTATTTCCAGAACATAGAACGTAGTTTCCACTTGGGGTTTTTTTCCACTAGGTTCTGCATTGAAGAAGAATGAGATGATTGGCTACTACGGAAAATATATAAAACAGATTATGCAATATTGAAAGCAGTCACTTCTTGCAGCCTTTCTATGTGCAAACCATTACATCCTGTTTTTTGTATACAGTCATTGCCTTATATAGGTGTTATATTTACCTACTATATCATGAGTACATAACACAGTGATGTGACCGTGCTGTCTGTACATGTGTAAGACATGACACCCCCCCCCCAAAAAAAACCTAAATGTACCGTGACCGATTCAATAACAACTAATAACTGAAACCGCTGTTCGTGACTGTATCGTAAATCGATTTATTGTAGAGATTTAGACCGAAATTCTGCAAAAATGCTGTCGACAGTGTGCGTTTAGTGAAAGAGTTACATCCTCAGCTTCACACAACATGTCCTGAAGGTGTGTAAAAACGCTTCATTGCTCTATTTACAGCAGCCGACGTGCGAGATGTGTTTACTGATGGCGACAGATATCGTAACTGTCTGCAAACGTAAACGTTTGAATTTGTGATGGTGACACAGAAAAACGCTTCGTTTTAAGTGTTGTGATTTAAGCCATTGATCATAACCCTGTATTTACTGACACCGGGCCAACAACACTATTTTATGTAACCCCCATTTAACATTAAAAGAGTAAAAAAAAGCGACGAACTGCGCTAATTCAACGCAGTCGTACCAAAAAAATATATGTGAACGGCTTCTGTACTGAATGGTACAGAGGAACAGGGGACATTGCAACAGAACCACAGCGTTTAACAGAGGGAAAAAACCTACCCACTGCTGCGGATACGGCGCAGGAGACTCTGGGTTGAAAGGCTGAAAAAACTTCCACCGATAACGCGGGTAGCCCCCGGCTAGTCCTGCCGTCCTCGAGAGTCACTCTCCGGACATCTTCGGTTCAAGCAGACGACATTCAGCCCTCAGAGAACACGACTGTCGCGCTCTTTTTTTTTCTATTGAGATTGTTCTGTGGTGATACTGGACATACTGGAGACTACATTGAAGCAGGCACACTGCTACAACTTACTGCTTTCCGTGGGTGTAAGACGAGCTGTGATTGGATGATACACAAAGAGGGTTGTGTGTCAGAAACGCTGATTGTTTGACGCCATGGTAGGCGGGACTAGGGCGGATTTAAAAGCACAGTACACCAAGTGTAACTGCAGCTATAAATTAAACAAACACATCTGTGTGGAATTATTTGAAGTCAAATCAAGTTAATATTTTTTTTATTTACGCGTGAATCCCGGTTTTCTGCCACAACCAGTCCTTTTTAACCCCCCACCCACAAAAAGTATAAAAATAAATACTGTATTTACACTATAGCTGGGATTTTGGTTACTATCAAAAAGCCACCCAAAAAGAAATTTGGATTTTTTTCAACTTGATGGGGGGGGTTACAGATTTTAAATACCATGATTTATTTTTAGAAATATATCTAATGGTAACCACACTTGTTGGAAAAAATAATACATCTTTAAGCCCATAAAAGCAAGGTGAATATTGATCATTTTAGGACAAAAAAGAAAACAATTCTATCAATAAATAGCAAAGTAGCCTAATATTACAACATCCAGAGGGTCACTGTTTACAGTTCACTTTCAGGACTTCTATAATTTGCAATGTCTCAAACCAGTTAGCTTTACCAACTTAACCTACAGCACTTACTTACGTAGGACCTCCATCTTGTGAGGGTCAGTGTTAGTAAGATTAGATAATGACAAAGATAATAATGTAGATCAGGCCTTTCCTCACATTAGAGCTTGCTTTTTTCCATGGAGCTTTGAAGACAGTGATCAATGACACCGTTATTGTGGACACTACCGTTCCAGAGATCATGCAGCAGCCATCGTCTGCTGCGGGGGTCAAAAGTGCATGTGAACTGATATGAAGACGCAGGAAAGATTAAGTTTCAAAGTCCATACGTTTGAACAATATGGCTGTGAAGTATGAGGAACAGAGACTTCGTATTTTGTCAAATGAATTCGTTTTTTTTCCTGTCACTGTAGGGTTTTTTTTTTTTGGTTAATCTGCAGGAAATTATCCACTTCATACTGTACACACATACTTACTGCATAGTATATTCACCAACAATCTGACAATAAAACAACAGTTATTCATAACCATCATCACCAGAGAGTTAGTGGAGAAACACAATGACGAACTGATGAGATCAAGCAGGAACCTCCATCATATCAATGCCTGGATATGTGAGATGTAGATAAATATTTAATTGGATATTGATCTATTCAAACCAAATGTATGTCTGGTCATTGGGCAGTTGACATCCACCTGATAAGTGTTCTGGTCCAATCAGTGATAATTGATGAAATGACATCGTGCAGTTTGATATGGTAATATGGTTTTGCTACCACTCAGGTTCCCCAGGAGACTCATTAATGGCCGATGTGTAACTGAGCAGCTCGGGGGCTCGGAGTGTATCAACTGAGGTGTGAGCATCGAGGCAGGTCCATCCTGTTCAACACGTCTGTTTTTCTATCGCAGGAAGATAAAATTTCCTAACATCAGGGTACCACAACAGAACTGAATCTCCATGAAGGAAGTGAGTTTTGGTGCTAAAATTGGACTTCCTAGAATGGAGTGTGCCGGAGATAAGTGTAAGAGTGGCTGAGAAATGTGTCGGAAAATGTGTTTAGGAGAGCATCGAAACATCTGCAGTGTGATGAAAATGGACTGAGGCTGTGGCCAAACCCAGGGTCTGTGGCCTGCAGGGGGTCAAACAGGTTTGGACAATGACTCAGTTCCCACTCTGCTGTCTCTACACATCAGCCAAACTTCCATCTGGAGTGGAGAGCTGGAGCTGAAACTCCACGACCCCAAAGCAGGAACAGATGAAACACCAGCAGGGGAGCCCTTCACTATCATCTGGTCAATGTTATACATGCAGTATTTTCTCACAACTGGATCAATGAAACTCACTTGTTTCTGGTACAAATAACCCTCGCTCCCTAGCCCCCCCTAACAGCAGAGTGTAAATACTCACAGTTCATAACTGAAGGTATTTCCCAGCTTCTCTGTTCTGGTATCCTGTGTGGAAATGCATGCATACCAACAATTATATTGTAAAAGGAAAACAGCCCTTTCCTCAGTAGCTAGGCTAGGCTAAACCTGCTAAGATTAGCATCCTTCTTTGGTTTGTTGTCACCTAGTCTGAGTTCGGTGGTAAATATTTTATCTAAGAAACCAGAAGACTCTTTGACAAAGGCTAACACCTCCAACCAACATGACCTCCTGTTAATTAATACAACATTTTACATGATGGCGGTTTAGTGAATAGGTAATATTATACTTATTTACCAGGTTCTCAGACAGTTAAACTAAAAAACTTCAACTCCTTTTAAAAAGCTACAGTTTACAGCTTGGATTTCTTGAATACTTCCAAGTCACTGCTTTTGAATTGGAACTTTGTTTTGTAGTTCTGTGGGAATTCATATTTTATAGAGCCTTTTACTATATTGGAAATTTGCTGTCACATCCCCGAGCTGCTAGCCATTTATTTACCAGCATTGTTTCACTTTGAGTCTGCACACAAAGCAGACAGCCATTGATCCACTGTCATCTCAGAGGAATGCTGGAGGCCGGCATTCGTATTTATGTTTGTTTATCATTTACGATGTGCCCGTATGAAGAGGCGAGTGTTAAAACTTTAAAATCTCACAGTAATGGCTAATGGTGGATGAAGCACACGCTGAATCATATCAAAGCTTCACTCCATTAAAACATCAACTCTTTGTTTTTCATGGTTTGGAAGGAGAGAGAAGGAGTCGGATTAATGGTTGTAATGGTTTTGGGTGGAGTCGACTGCTTCACAATTTATGAGCGGCAGGACAGTAAACCGTTATATTTTTACATTATGCAACACGACTGACATCAACTTTCCAATAGTCCTTTCATTTTTGTTTTTTTGCAAGAAACAAGAAAAAGGGAAGAAAATCTGAAGCTAGTGCATCTACAGTTTAATTGGTCTTGACACTTTATTGTATTTCCTTCCCACTTTGGCAATGCCCCGGGGAGCTCTGGCCCCTGGCTGGTGCCTCATTGGTGAAACTTGAGCCCAATCAGAACATCAGACTCCTCCAGTAAGGATGTCGTGATTGTGCCTCGTCAGAGATTCTGCCTCCGAGAAGACGTTCTGAGTGGAGCGGAGATGTCTAATGTCCAATGTGACGCGCAGACACGATCATTAGCTGTGTCAGTATCGCGACTGATCTCGCCTTTAGTTGATGCTGCGGTAACTGATAGCAGGACAACAGAGGAGAGGAAGGGGATTTTGTGCCGTTTGGACATTTTCTACACTCTTCCTCCACTTTCTTGCGCAAGAGCACAAGTGCAAATGAGACTAATGGTTCTGTATGCATGGCACATAATGGCTTCCATTAGAAGACCTTCTGCAGTGTAATTGTTTCCAGTGAGGGGCTTTTTTTTCTATCATAATGAAATATCAGGGAACCAAGCCTGTCACAAACAGGCACTGTCTCAAGTTTGTCTTCACCACAGAAGAGGTTTGACCCCAGTTTGACCTGCAGCACCTAAAAATAAAAATAAATTAAACCAAAATAGACACTGTAAGTGGTCCAAGATCAACTGGGTCTAAAGCTCGACCCTCGGAGAGCTACAAGTTTTGCTTAATTTTTTACAAATTGTGCAAGACTCACTGGGAGTGTGAGCCAACGAATGTGTAACATAGAAAAGACTCTGGTGTTTTCACTCACAGATGTATATTATTATATTTCTTTTCTTTTTTTTACAATAACAAACCCTTTGACAAACGAATGTGTTTTTTTTACAATAACAAACCCTTTGACACCAGTCGTTCAAAAATCAAAAAGAGCAAATTTAAATGGAGAAACATTTTGATTATGGACGGGTTGATTATCTAAAATGTTTTGACTGATTAGTGATGAATAGATCCAAAAATCAGAGGAGTTTGATCTAAGCTCAGTGTTCGTGTGTTCTGTGTCCATTGTCTGTGACCTCATCGCAGAAGAAAAATCACATTGATTTTTTTTACCTCATCACAGAAGAAAAATCACATTGATTTTTTTTTTACAGGACACAGTCTATGGTGTGAACACTGGACCAAACAGTTCTTATAAAGAATCTGATGGTATCAAGATTCCATTATTTTCCTGCCCTGACTCAGACCATGCCCTGCCCTGCGGCACATCATGGTACACATGTCACACCATGTTTGAAAAATCCTGACGGTTACGTGCAAAAGTAGAGTTAATCACAACAAATACTCTGTCTTCTCTTGGATTAAGAACCTAGATTACCTGCCAACGGTGATATCTTAATAAAATTGTTCAAACACACACAAGCAAATGACAAAAACCAGATCATTAATGTTATAACACATGATAGGAAAAAGTCAAGGAATTAAAGCTGATATATAAGATAGTAAGACTAGGTGTTACTTTGATGCAAACTAAAAGTTTGTTTTTTACAAATACACCAGAATCAGTGAAGACATGAACTGTTTCACTGTGAATCAAGAAGGTTGAATGATTTGAAAAGGTTGATGTTTTTCAGATAAAGAAAAATTTTGTTTTGGTTCCGCTGTCCTGGTCATAACAGGGAGAGGAGCCGATGAAGAGGGGGACGTTGAAAACAGAGGATATATAAAAAACATACCAAAAGGACAAAGAGGATGAACCCGGGTCCAAGTTTCGGACAGACGTTTACTCACGTTTTTGAGACATGCAGACGATGGGCTGATCGTTTGAACACAGCGATATCTTGTCCAAGTCCACTAGGATTAGCGCTAATCTTTCCCATTTCCTTGAACAGAACAACAAAGTATTAGGTGAGCTGTGGAGGAAAAGCTGCAAATCATTAGGACGACAATAAATCCTAAGCAGCACTCAACGACTTGGCCCGAAAGTAATATTGCAGTATAATTTAAAATCATGCAAGGTTAAAAAAAACATGTGAATAAAGTGAATACAAACGTTAAATCATTCACAGCTGCTCAAGTTTTTCTAATATTTCTGATGATCAATGACATACTGTAATTAAAAAAAACAAAACAAATAAAACAAAAACAATGTTCTTTGTTTTAGAAGAATATTTATAATGAATAATCTTTAACAAATGGTAAATAAATTTCATGCGTAGTTGCCGACCTCTTAATTCCACCATCTTGTTCAGGTCTGGAGGTGAATCATCTGATCCAGTTGTTCTGCTTCTCAAAACCTTTTCATGCAAATAAAAAAAAAAAATCAATTTGTGAAAACTGCCAACAGTGACACAATCCACACGGGTTTTAGGAAACTTCTAGAAAGCTGCTTCTAGTCAACGGTTTTTCAAACATGTTTCTTGTTATGAGAACTTTTTTGTAAACAGTGTAGATGTTACAGGGTTCGTGCTGGTGACGATCCATATTTTCACTGTTACCTAAACATCGTGACATCACGATGATGTCACAGCGGCGCGGGGCAGAACACTCTAAAAGAAACCAACCCTGTGGCAAACAAAGACGAGAGATTAATTGTCAGGATGAAACGTTTGTGAAGTGAGTCACAGACTGTGGGTGTGAGACGGTGATGAGAGATGACGAACAGCTGCGGATAAAAATATCTACTGCATATAAAGACACCAGCAGAACGACGACACGAGTGGATCGGACTGTACAGGGGCTGTCAATCAAAAAAGTTATCTAATTAATTAGATTTAATTAATTAATAAGTTATTGATACTTTTCTAAAGCTGACAGGACACGTTTGACTGATGTAATAGTCTAATAATCTTTACTTTCGTCTGTGATGTCAGAGAAAATGTCAACGCTGACGCAGATCCACGCCACTACATGTCATATTCACTTCCTGTAGTTACGGGGAGACGTCACTCTGCGTTACATTGACCTACTCTTATCACATTCATTTGTTTGTTGATGTGATGTCAGGGCAGCAGATTGAATCATGGGGAATCCTGTCATGGGGGAATAATGGGTTTTTAAACTGTTTGTTCAACGAGCCGAACCCGAGAAGATCAATGTCCTGATGAGCGACTGCTTCTGTCTGAACGGCTCATTATGACGTACGGAGATGGTGGAAGGTCAACACTGCTGAACTTTACAGGCCAGTCGATAGTCCAGATGGAAACTCATGTCCAGTCATGTTCACAAACAGTTCATGGCCATATGTTAGTCAAAAGTCAAAGTTCCAAGATAGATGTTACAATTTTGAGATCTGTTGGTTTTCAAAAATAAAATCATGCAAAGAGAAGTCACTGCAGTGTCTCCCAAGGAGATCCTCAAAAATGAACAGTTGTTTAATCAAGAAAATGATGTGAACATCAGCCAATGAAATTCTATCAAGGATCCTCTGACTAAAACACCGCAGAAGAGTTTCGACTAAATTAGACGGCGTGTAGAGACTTAGCATTTATTTTTTCATTACATGTTTTTTTTAATCTTAAGACTTTTTGACTCAGTCTTTTAAGAGCAGAACTGTCAATTCTGGGGGGGAAATTACACCTGTGTGATTCACTGTAGGTTTAAGTGACATCTAGTGGTGGTTGAACATCCCTGAGTGATGCATAATTTCTAAAATGACTGGCTGATAAAAGAAAAAAAAGTCATAAAAAGCTGCAGATCACTGCACACTCACACATGCACGAGCATGAAGAAACAAGTACACTACAGGGACAGGCCACACATTCTGTGGAAAAAGAACTGTTTTTTTTTTCCAAAACACCCTGGCTGACAGGACTGGTTCTCTGATCCAGATTTTCATTCATCCAATAGTTTGGATTTTTTTTGGTCTCATCGTCTCCGTATTTTCCTCTCAGGGTTTTTTTTTCTCCGTCCTTCACTTCTGGATTTAATCATCCTTCACTTCTTCTCCTTCCTCTCCAGCCCAGATTTGTCATTATTTTCCCGTGTTGACTCGTCAGCCTCGCTGCTCAGAGACTCCACTGCTGTGAGGTCACCGTGGGACGTCTCTGCAGTTGAAGGGAGTCGAACGAGTGCAGAGATTTTTCAGGGTGAGGACTGAGCCCAGTGTGATCTTCAGAGGAGCAGAGACAAAACAGCTGCTGCACGGCTCGCAGAGCGAGGGCTTCCAGGAAAAAAAAATCACACGCAACACAAACACAGAAAGTGAAGTTGTGATATTCCACCGAGGCAACGGCCCCGATTAGAAACGATTTGCCAGAAATCAGCGAAGTCTGACGTTCAAGAAAAACAAAAACTGGAGCAAAGGGTAGGAAAATTACAAACATCCACGGAGGAAAATGATCTAGACTCTGATGACCAGCAGTCAGGTGACTTCACATGAAGTAGTCGGAACAGAAATCAGTAAAGAATGCCAGTCTCTGTCTGACCTCTGACCTCCAGATGACAGCTGGTTTTGAACCCTTTACTTTGGTGTGAGGTCACAACAATTACCTCGTCCACCGAGTCAAGATAAACCTTTCACATTCTAAAGGGAAGTTTTACTTAAAGTAAACCTGTGTCCGACACATTCTAAAGGGAAGTTTTACTTAAAGCATCACTGCAAAAACAAGAGTTAAAAACAAAACTTTTTTCACATTTCTTACCAACCATAAAAGGTACACACAAGAGTTAAAAAAAACAAATACATTTCTTACCAACCATAAAAGGTACAAACCCCTGCAGTACCTCTGCAGGCCCACTAGGGCTCACAGATCTCTGGTGAGGACATCTGTAAAGTATTATTATAAATGTTCTTATGTAGAGCTCCAAACATGTCAATCACGCTGCAGCGCACCATCACAATCTGCAGCAACTTTGTTTTGCAACACAGAGGAACTTCCTGACAGATTTCAGGAGTCGTTTATGAGAAACAGTGACTGTTTGGACACAAATGTTTCACCACTTCTAAAAAGGGAGAGATTTCTCTTCATGAAAACCTCTCACTGCTGGGAATATGGACTGTGAGACAACATTCTCAGACAATTTATAAAACTTTGATCAGCACCAGAGATCGGGTTTGGTAAAAGTAGTGAGTTGATTTGATTTGTGTAAGAATTCCAGTGTTCACTTACATGACATTTGTGAATTTTGAGGTGCAAAAAAAAAAAGTTAATTTTAACATTTATCACAGAGATTGTCTTAATTTTTTTTCATTATTATTTTGTTAGGGGTATCTGTGGCATTTACTACGACATAGAACTCTGTCTTATTGTCAAACAGATCTATAGGTCTTTGTGTGTGTGTTTCTTCAATTCCTGTGAGTACATCAGGGCTACATTCAACGAAACAGGCCAGAATGAATAAGAAAGTAAGAACTTAACCGAGAAGATCGTCATATTTGATCACATCCTAAAATAAATGCCGAGACTTAAAGGAACTAGTACTCTATCCTTACCAGAACTATTCCCTTCTT